TGGAGATGGAACTTATTCTTTATTTAAAGATTAGTTCTTTTACTTCGTTTATGTTAGGGGTCATAAGTCAAATTGTTATTAAATTCTTTAAGTTGAAGATGGAACTTATTCTTTATTTAAAGATAAGTTTTTTTACTTCGTTTTTGTTAGGGGTCGTAAGTCAAATTATTTTAAAATTCTTTAAGTTGGAGATGGAACTTATTCTTTTTTTAAAGATCAGTTATGTTAGTAAAAAAAGCAAATCTTGTTTAAGCTGGAGATGGAACTTATTCTTTGTTTAAAGATTAGTTCCTCTACATCGTTTTTGTAGGGAACGTAGGTCAAAACCTTTTTAGATTCTTTTTGTCAGATCAAATCTTGTTTAAAGTTGAAGATGGAACTTATTCTTTATTTAAAGATTAGTTCTTTTACTTCGTTTATGTTAGGGGTCGTAAGTCAAATTGATATTAGATTCTTGATTATGTTAGTGATTGATGTTGATGTATTTATAATTTATATTCTTAATTTTATTACAGGAACACAATATTTATTGAATGAGTCCTTTACATCGTTTTTGTAGGAAACGTAGGTCAAAACTTTTTTAGATTCTTTTTGTCAGGTCAAATCTTGTTTAAAGTTAAAGATGGAACATATTCTTTATTTAAAGATTAGTTCTTTTACTTCGTTTATGTTAGGGGTCGTAAGTCAAATTGTTATTAGATTCTTGATTATGTTAATGATTGATGTTGATGTATTTATAATTTATATTCTTTATTTTATTACAGGAACCCAATATTTATTGAATGAGTCGTTTACATCGTTTTAGTAGGAAACGTAGGTCAAAACTTTTTTAGATTCTTTTTATCAGGTCAAATCTTGTTTAAAGTTGGAGATGGAACTTCTTTATTTAAAGATTAGTTCTTTTTGTTTAAGTTGGAGATGTAACTTATTCTTTTTTAAAGATCAGTTATTTTAGTAAAAAAAAGCAAATCTTGTTTAAGCTGGAGATGGAACTTATTCTTTGTTTAAAGATTAGTTCCTTTACATCGTTTTTGTAGGAAACGTAGGTCAAAACTTTTTTAGATTCTTTTGTCAGGTCAAATCTTGTTTAAAGTTGGAGATGGAACTTATTCTTTATTTAAAGATTAGTTCCTTTACATCGTTTTTGTAGGGAACGTAGGTTCAAACTTTTTTACATTCTTTTTGACAGGTCAAATCTTGTTTAAAGTTGGAAATGGAACTTATTCTTTATTTAAAGATTAGTTCTTTTACTTCGTGTTTGTAGGGAACTTGGGTCAAAATTTTGTTTAAAGTAGGAGATGGAGTTTATTATTATTTAAAGTTAAGTTCTTTTAGTTCGTTTTTGTAGGAAACGTAGGTCAAAACTTTTTTAGATTTTTTTTGTTAGGTCAAATCTTGTTTAAAGTTGGAGATGGAACTTATTCTTTATTTAAAGATTAGTTCTTTAAGTTCGTTCTTGTTAGGGGTCGTTAGTCAAAACTTTTTCAGATTTTTTTTGTCAGGTCAAATCTTGTTTAAAGTTGGAGATTGAAGTTATTCTTTATTTAAAGATTAGTTCTTTTACTTTGTTAAGGTTAGGGGTCGTAAGTCAAATTGTTATTAAATTCTTTAAGTTGGAGATGGAACTTATTCTTTTTTAAAGATGAGTTATTTTAGTGAAAAAAAGCAAATCTTGTTTAAGCTGGAGATGGAACTTATTCTTTGTTTAAAGATTAGTTCCTTTACATTGTTTTTGTAGGGAACGTAGGTCAAAACCTTTTTAGATTCTTTTTGTCAGGTCAAATCTTGTTTAAAGTTGGAGATGGAAGTTATTCTTTATTTAAAGATTAGTTCTTTTACTTCGTTTATGTTAGGAGTCGTAAATCAAATTGTTATTAGATTATTGTTTATGTTGGTGATTGATGTTGATGTATTTATAATTTATTTTCTTAATTTTATTACAGGAACACAATATTTATTGAATAAGTCCTTTACATCGTTTTTGTAGGAAACGTAGGAACTTCTTTATTTAAAGATTAGTTCCCTAAGTTCGTTTTTGCTAGGGGTCGTAAGTCAAAACTTTTTCAGATTCTTTTTGTCAGGTCAAATCTTGTTTAAAGTTGGAGATGGGACTTATTCTTTATTTAAAGATTAGTTCTTTTACTTCGTGTTTGTAGGGAACTTGGGTCAAAATTTTGTTTAAAGTAGGAGATGGAACTTATTCTTATTTAAAGTTAAGTTCTTTTAGTTCGTTTTTGTAGGAAACGTAGGTCAAAACTTTTTTAGATTTTTTTTGTTAGGTCAAATCTTGTTTAAAGTTGGAGATGGAACTTATTCTTTATTTAAAGATTAGTTCTTTAAGTTTGTTTTTGTTAGGGGTCGTAAGTCAAAACTTTTTCAGATTTTTTTTGTCGGGTCAAATCTTGTTTAAAGTTGGAGATGGAACTTATTCTTTGTTTAAAGATTAGTTCTTTTACTTTGTTTAGGTTAGGGGTCGTAAGTCAATATGTTATTAAATTCTTTAAGTTGGAGATGGAACTTATACTTTTTTTAAAGATCAGTTATTTTAGTGAAAAAAAGAAAATCTTGTTTAAGCTGGAGATGGAACTTATTCTTTATTTAAAGATTAGTTCTTTTACTTCGTTTATGTTAGGGTCGTAAGTCAAATTGTTATTAGATTCTTGTTTATGTTAGTGATTGATGTTAATGTATTTATAATTTATATTCTTTATTTTATCACAGGAACACAATATTTATTGAATGAGTCGATTACATCGTTTTTGTAGAAAACGTAGGTCAAAACTTTTTTAGATTCTTTTTGTCAGGTCAAATCTTCTTTTTAAGTTGGAGATGGAACTAATTCTTTATTTAAAGATTAGCTCTTTAAGTTCGTTTTTGTTAGGGGTCGTAAGTCAAAACTTTTTCAGATTCTTTTTGTCAGGTCAAATCTTGTTTAAAGTTGGAGATGGAACCTATTCTTTATTTAAATATTAGTTCCTTTACATCGTTTTTGAAGGGAACGTAGGTTCAAACCTTTTTAGATTCTTTTTGTCAGTTCAAGTCTTGTTTAAAATTGGAAATGGAACTTATTCTTTCTTTAAAGATTAGTTCTTTTACTTCGTTTTTGTTAGGGGTCGTAAGTCAAATTATTATAAAATTCTTTAAGTTGGAGATGGAACTTATTCTTTTTTTAAAGATTAGTTCTTTAAGTTCGTTTTTGCTAGGGATCGTAAGTCAAAACTTTTTCAGATTCTTTTTGTCAAATCTTGTTTAAAGTTGGAGATGGAACTAATTCTTTATTTAAAGATTAGTTCTTTAAGTTCGTTTTTGCTAGGGGTCGTAAGACAAAACTTTTTCAGATTTTTTTGTCAGGTCAAATCTTGTTTAAAGTTGAAGATGGAACTAATTCTTTATTTAAAGATTAGTTCTTTAAGTTCGTTTTTGCTAGGGGTCGTAAGTCAAAACTTTTTCAGATTTTTTTTGTCAGGTCCAATCTTGTTTAAAGTTGGAGATGGAACTTATAAGTTCTATATATTCTGTATTTAAAGATTAGTATTTTAAGTTCGTTTTTTTTAGGGGTCGTAATTCAAAACTTTTTTAGATTTTTTTGTCAGGTCAAATCTTGTTTAAAGTTGGAGATGGAACTTATTCTTTATTTAAAGATTAGTTCCTTTACATCGTTTTGGTAGGGAACGTAAGTTCATACCTTTTTAGATTGTTTTTGTCAGTTCAAGTCTTGTTTAAAATTGTAAATGAAACTTATTCTTTCTTTAATGATTAGTTCTTTTACTTCGTTTATGTTAGGGGTCGTAGGTCAAAACTTTTTCAGATTCTTTTTGTCGGGTTAAATCTTGTTTAAAGTTAGAGATGGAACTTATTCTTTATTTAAAGATTAGTTCTTTTACTTCGTTTATGTTAGGGGTCTTTTAGTTCGTTTTTGTAGGAAACGTAGGTAAAAACTTTTTTAGATTTTTTTTGTTAGGTCAAATCTTGTTTAAAGTTGGAGATGGGACTTATTCTTTATTTAAAGATTAGTTCTTTAAGTTCGTTTTTGTTAGGGGTCGTAAGTCAAAACTTTTTCAGATTCTTTTTGTCAGGTCAAATCTTGTTTAAAGTTGGAGATGGAACTTATTCTTTATTTAAAGAATAGTTCTTTTACTTCGTTTAGGTTAGGGGTCGTAAGTCAATTTATTATAAAATTCTTTAAGTTGGAGATGGAACTTATTTTTTTTTAAAGATCAGTTATTTTAGTAAAAAAAAGCAAATCTTGTTTAAGCTGGAGATGGAACTTATTCTTTATTTAAAGATTAGTTCCTTTACATCGTTTTTGTAGGGAACGTAGGTCAAAAGTTTTTTAGATTCTTTTTGTCAGTTCAAGTCTTGTTTAAAATTGGGGATAGAACTTATTCGTTATTTAAATATTAGTTCTTTTATTTCGTTTTTGTTAGGGGTCGTAAGTCAAATTTTTATTAGATTCTTAAAGTTGGAGATGAAACTTAGGGTTTACTTTCTATAGAAAATGATCTCTATAGAAAGTATTAAACCAATCATAGCACAGCGTTCTCCACAGCACTTTAATGTAGAAACAGAAACGGAAACGAAAACAGAAACAGACAGGGGAAACAGAAACGGAAACAGATACCAGAAACAGAGATTGAAACAGTGATACGGAAACAGATACCTACAATGATACAGAAACAGAAACAGATACAAGATACAGAAAAGACATAGAAACGGAGACCTAAACAGACACACTAGGTGCTATGGAGAATGCCGTGCTTTGATTGGTTTATTGATTTTAATAGATTGTTTGATCAATTTTTAAAGAAAGGTTCTTTAGGCTAAATTTTGTTTATGTTGGAGATTAGTTCTTTTAGTTCGTTTTTGTTAGTCAAATTGTTATTAGATTATTTAAGTTGGAGATCGAACTTTCTTTTTTTTAAGATCAGTTCATTTTTTTTATATACCACGCAATAGGTCCAAATCAAATCTTAAAATGTTCGGCTTTTTTCTTACCTCTTTTAATAAATTTTGAGCTGAGCTTCCTCATCCCCCTTCAGTACCATCACTTCGGTCGTGTCCCTTGTGTTCACTTTAAAAACTTGACCGAAAAACCCCTGCCCCAAAAGTTCCCCTTTCACTAGATCCGAATCCATAAAGACCCTTTGTTCTCCGCCAAATAATTTTTTCTTCTCAACTGTCTCGACCTCGTGTCTCTCATGTAACCCTCATCTTTTCTTTTGAAGAGTCTCTCCTTGTTCTCCCCCTAGCCGTTGTGTGCTTTGTGTTTCGACTCGTTTAGTTCGCCGAATTGCCACTGTGGCGCTGAAACGACAAGCTTGGGTGTGGATTAGGCCTATAGGGGATACCACCATAAAAAAAACGCGCCCGATACTCTACCTCTCGGGTGGTGCGGAAAAGAGTATGACATGGATCTATATATTTTTTTTAATTGCAAAATTTATTCAAAAACCTCACTTTTGTGTATCGTTTATTAAATTAAATCTAATATAATGGTTATTTATGTCATTAGGTTAAGAAGTAAGGCTTTTTGTGCTAAGCTCAAGGTTTGAAGGCCGACGCTTAACGGAGGCCTACAATTGAGCGAAGCACAAAAAGGCACTTCTTGGCCTAATGGCATACAACATTTAATCTTCAAAGCACTTTATATAGGTCAATTTAATTCAACATCAAAGCGGCCTAACCTCACTTTTTTAGAATCTCATTTATTTCTTAGCTAAAGATTACATTAAATGAACAATAATTATTATTGCTTTTAGAAGCAGTAATAGTTTGACAATACCTAGCAACATGATTTAAGTATAAATGGATTTTTGATATTACATTGAATTCAATTAATTGTTTAATAAATAGGTAGGTATCTAATTTCAATTTGTTTGGATTTTTATTTAAAAAATAGGTTGTTTGGAATGTTTAAGCTGTGTTTAACATTTAATTTTACTGAAAACTTAAAGCAAATTAAAACTTAAAGATAATTTAAATCGTAGAAAAAGAATCGTGCGTTTTCTTGGTTGCCTAACCTCACTTTTTGTTTTATTATTCATATTTAATTTTACAATAATTTAATGAAAAATATTAAACATTAACAGTAAAACAAACAAATTAATGCTTATTATATATAAATTAAACCAGTTTAGTAAGTTAATTTCTTAGAAAAGGATTAATTTGTCAAAACAATACCCCTAGCGAGAAAAAATCGAACTAATTACTTGCCTCATAAAATTTTTTATCGGCCTAGGCCATAACAAGGTATTTCTTTATCGAATGTTGACAACAATAAAGTTTAAATTATAGACCACGTGGAGATAAAAATATGTTTTATATTTTAAATATTAAGTAGGATGACCCCTAAGGTAAAATAAAACCTTTATTTTTTTCGATCAAAATATGGTTAATTATACGTAATAAGTCTTACTTAACACAGTTAAAAAGAAAAACACAAATATTTATTTGTAACAAAAAAAAATTGAATTATATCAGCAATTTAACGATTATAAAACACATTAAAAAAAATTAAACCTTTATTGTTTTTAATCAAAATATAGTTAATTATAGGCAATAAGTCTTACTTAACACCATGATACTACATAAGACTGGTAATTCGTCGCACCGCCAATATTATAAAAAGGAAATTTTATATCTTTAAATGCTTTAATTTATAGCACTTCCACATTAACTATTTATTTTTATAATAATCGATTTTTTAAACTGTAGAAAGCTACTCTGTTTTTGTTACTTGTTTTGACTAAAGAGGTCGCTACCACATATTTAACAGAATGTTTTAAATCTAGAAGGTAACCTAATTAATGTAGCTATTAGTGTGTAGATGGCGCAGTCTGTATTATTAAACACAGTATGTGTTATTAAATTATTGTAAACATAAATATTAAATAGGCGAATTGCGAATAAATATATACAGTGTGTTCCCGGATGGAGTCACAATAGGGAAACAAATCCTTATTATTCGTTTTACGACATAAAGTCTTAAAAAGAAAATTAATTTGATGATAAGACTCATTTTCAACTACTAAATTAATTCTTTGGAGGTAATTTGTCTGTAATAAGAGTTCTAAAATTTGTAAAAAGAACACTCTATGTTAATCAGAAATTAACAATTTTTACCACAAATTATACTTCTTTAATATCATTTTTTAAAGGAACATTTTTTGGTCAACACAATTGACACTTGTTGAAAAATGCCTTTCTCACAAGTGAAACACAATGCTTTTTCTACATATTTTTTCAGAATTTAAAGCTAATTTTATTTGAATTTTACCTGGCATCTGTCAAGCGGTTTTAACCTCACTTTTTACCAATCTGTCTTTTTTTCACACAGATCTGTCACTTTTCACACAGAAAATAAAAGGTTTGCAAAATTAAAAAAATGTTATTTTTATTCGTATTATATTTTTGACAAAATATTACAATAGACTATATAATAAAGTACCTTGTCTTACACTAAGTAAATCTATACAATATCATATTTAAAATCAATAAAATTCCTTAAAACATAGGGTAGGTATTTTTTGATATATTAAAATTAAACTATATTTACAAACTGCATCAATAAAATTTTCTAGTTATGTATAAGTAGGTATGACAATATCATCGAATTGTATTTTTATTTAATTTAGCTACGGCAGAAAAATCAGGATTGATAATTGTACGTCATTTTGTTTTGGTACTATAATAAACAATATTTTGTAGATAGGTACCATTTAACATGTATTAACTAGTTTAGTTTTACAATAATCTAGTGATACGCATGCAGGCAGATAGACTTTATTAATTTATGTTTTGGATATCACAAGAATGGACGTCGAGTCGAAAAATAATTTTGTTTGTTTTTTGTGCCCTGGGGTAAAAACCTGCCAGATTTGTGTCTTTATTTTCAACAGAAAATGATGTCCATGGAAAGCAATAAACCAATCAGAGAACTTCATACTCCACAGCTCACTTTCTGTTGGGAGGTTTTCACCCTAAAGCGACAAAATAGGTACAAATATCTCCTGTATATTTACCATAGATTTCACTGAGATTGTGACCAGGGTTAGTTGGTTTTTCTAAATTACATTTATTTAATAGTTATAATTACATACATTTATAATAAAATTTGTAGTCCTAATTTGCGCCACAGTTAATTTTCATATAATTTCAAGACACATTTCACCTTAGGTACAACGTTAACAACATCTATATACAGGGTGTCTCAAAAAACACGCGCCAATGCTAAGCTGGAGATTTATCACCAAACCATGATAATATAATATACGCCACTGACTTTTTGTCTCTTGTGTTGTTTCCACAGAAAAAAAATTGCATAAAAATTGAAAAAAAAACATATTCAAAACCTAATAAATCTTTATAGTATCATAATAACATAAAAAGAATAAATAAGAATTTAGGAATATAAATACTGCATTTAATGAAATTCTAAAGTGTGGTGCAATATAAGTGATATTTTTGTGCATTGTGTATTAGAACAAAAAATATCATCTAATTTTGTATTTTAAGGTTAGAATCTATTTTGACCAAAATAAATAAGTGGATTATTTGGAAGAGTGTGTTAATATATGGTCATAAATAAATATAGGTATACTAAATAATTGTTGAATATGGTTCAAATTAAATTGAAGCTTTTATATTTCTAACGAAAAAACTTGTGCATATTTCTCGGCATAACTACTTTAAGTTAGAACAAACAATTTTTAAAGAAACTTGCAATGTGAAAATATTTAATACTCCCATGACATGTGCTTTATTAAAATTTTTAAAGATAATGATTTTTCGATGTAGATCAAATTCAGTTGAAGCTTTTTAACTATTTGTATTGACAAAACTTTATGTAGGTACACTTTAAGCTGGATAAAAAGAACTACCACATTTTTAAATACCATATTATACAGTCTTTTAAATAATCCAAAATATTTATTTATTTTGGTCAAAATAAATTTTTCTAACCTTAAAATTACAAAATTAGATGATATTTTTGTTATAATATATTAACCTACCTTTAATACAGATATTCGTATTCCATAATAAATGCTGTTTAGTTAAAATTATTTTATGGAGAAAACCAGATATTTGGACCAAATGCACAAAAGCCTTAAATGCCAAATTTTCAAAAGACTGCGTTCCGTACGTGGTCACGTGGTGGGACTATGAGGTGTGGAGCATAGTACCAACGACTTTTTTGAAATTTTTATTTTTTTTATGATTAAGCCTCGTTTTCGACAGAAATTGCATAAAAATTGAAAAAAAAAACATATTTTGCACATTTTTCCAGTTAAACAAAAACTACCACTCATTATTTTTGAAGAAATATGGAGAAAAAGAAAAATTACAAATATAAATAACGTTGCCAAATTTGAAAAAATCGTGCAAAAAATATATGAGATATTTTTAAAAAGCTGTTTTTTTAATATTTATTATTATATAAATATATTTAATATAAATAACGTTGCCAAATTTCAAAAAAATCGTGCAAAAAATATATAAGATATTTTTAAAAAGATGTTTTTTTAATATTTATTATTATTTTTATTTTCGGATGACGAATCTCTCTCGAATTGGCGTATATTTTTTGAAACACCCTGTGTAAAATAAAATTTAGAAAATTTTACAAGGGAAACTAAATATACAATCACAGAACGTTACAACAAAATTTACAACTTAAATGTGATATTTGAAAATCGTTAAAATAAATACTATACAGAATGTACACTTAGAATTATAATAAAATAAATTACAAATTAAATCAAAAAAGTTTTTTTAAATAAGTACCTACGGGACTTATTTGCAAATTTCCTTTTTTTCTGCAAACGTTTCTTTTTTGTGTACATCTGAGATCAAAACAAGGACTTTCCAAACACTTCTAAGAGAGCAGCTATCTTTGACTCGTATGTCAAACAGGCACCAAGCAGTCTCCAATGTCTCTTTTTTCAGCACCTCTTTCCAAATTATTGAGGCGATCATCATCGCAATATTTACTACAAAATTTTTCCAAAATACCTTGTCTTCTATCACATTTCAATAACCTCAAACCTCCTTAAGTTTATATATATAATAAGACTTTGCTAAACATTTCATTATCTTAATTTATAAAATTTATTAAAGATATAACAAAAATTTACTATTCCATACTGGTTCAACGTTTACACAAATATACATATAGAAAATGTTAAAGTCCATAATGTAACAATTAAAACAACAGTCATTATAATGTAAAGTAGGGTGTTTCAAAAAAACCTTTTTTTTGTTTTTTTTCTCGGAACCACGCTCACAAGTTTCGTATGCATATAAAAATGAGCCTGTGAAAAAATGAGCTCTTAATTTCAAAATTAAGATGCTCCGCATCGCACTTTTCGATTTTCCATAAGAATAACATAGGAAAAATTATTTTTGTAAGTAAGGAACAATAGGTCGTACTGTAAAGTTCTTGACATATTTTTGTAGAGAATTGAACGCTCTACAAAAATGGTTTTTTATGATTTTTTGATAAATTTGATCCTTCTAAAGAAATTTAAGGTCAAAGTTCAAATTATACGAAATTTTTGTGTTTTATTGCGAGTCTGCCCGACTCATTAAAAAAATTTAAATATTTTTGTAGAAAATTGAACGCTGTTTTTCCGAATTTCCAGAGCTCAAAAACAATATGTTGATTCGTTTTTAGCCCTTTGAACTAAAAAATCCAGAAAAAATTCGAGAAAACGACTAAATTGACGGTTAATTTCACTTTAACCTTGAATAACTTTTAACCAAGTTAACTTACCGAAAAATGACTTTAGACCTTTTTTGTAGAGCGTTCAATTCTCTACAAAAATATTTCAAAATTTTTTAAATGAGTCGTATAGTTAAAATTTGAACTTTGACCTTAAATTTCTTTAGAATGATCAAATTTATCAAAAAATCATAAAAAACCTTTTTTGTAGAGCGTTCAATTCTCTACAAAAATATGTCAAGAACTTTACAGTACGACCTATTATTCGTTAGTTACAAATATAAAAAGAAACAAAAATAATTTTAATAATCATCTTAATTTTGAAATTAAGAGCTCATTTTTTCACAGGCTCATTTTTATATCTATACGGAACTTTTGAGCGTGGTTCCGAGAAAAACAACAAAAAAAAGGTTTTTTTGAAACACCCTAATGTAAAGTAATAAAAGCACCTTTAAATGCAAAATTAAGTAGCGGTAAGTTATTGGTCGACTTGTAGAGGCAACTCATTATTATTATTATTATTATGTTAGGTATGAAATAGTGGGAATTTACTGACAAACTCTTACGTAGTAACCACAACCTAGATTATATAACTTTTCACATCACAACCGTTTCAGCAGAAAAATAAGATTTTTAATGGTTCTCACCCAATAATTTTTGAGATCTCGCATGAAATAGCATCGTTGTACAAAAACAAAAAAATCAGAAACGTCAATATGTACACTTAGATAATAAATAAAAACTCTTGTACTTTTCGGACAGTGATGGTCACTGGTGAGCGGTGGATGTGATTGTTCACGCTGCGCCCGTGCAGTCGATTTCTACTATGTCTTTGGGTACCTCCACGAACTGGTATACCAACCTTTGGCCGTCGACTTTGGCCAAGATGCCTCTCTGGTAGTAGTACCTCAAAGCGCGGCCCATGGTTTCGTAGTTCATGTCAGGTTTGTTTTTGTGCATGCCCCACAACCTGGACACAGCCTTCGAGTCGACAAGTTTGAACACGCCTTTCTCTCTGTTGGTCCACTTGATGTACCTCGGGCAGTATTCGCGGTCCTGTAGTAACTTCAACAGGAATTCCCACAAATACGTGGTGGAACCTTCCCTGCTCTTCCTCTTCACTGAACCAGGCTCGCCTATCTTCTGTTTCTTCACCTTCTTCATCTTCCTGGGCGAGAAGCCCAGCATGTACGGATCATCGTAGATAACTCCGCAAGAGGGCGTTTGTATTACCGAGGTGGGGATGGAGTGTCTCATAGGGGGGGAAGGGGGGGACGGCGTCGTGAAGGGTGATGACGTGCTGTTGTGGTGATGCATGTGTTGGTTCTGTTGCACGTGGTGATGCTGTTGCAACAGGTAGTTGTTGTAGGGGTCGTTTACTGAAACAAGCGAGAAACAAGGATTAATAAAATATTAGCATCTGTTCCTCAACTATACGAAGCAGCATTTTTACTTAAATGTAATTCTAACTTTTAAACAGCAATATTTTGAACAGAACAGAAACTTTATTCCTTCCTTAAATGGTTACTATAAAGTAATAAACATTTAAGTAAAACTTGGTACTAACCAAAACTACCGTAAAGTAAATTAAGGTGGAAAAGAACTTTAAAGTAGCGAAAACTACTTCAAAGGAAAATGCTTCTTATCGGCCATTTTTTACTGTACAGTACCACGTGGTAATGTAAATAATAAATCATTTTAATTGTTTGTAAATGGTTGTTTACTTTTTAATAAATAGTAATTTTGTTGGTAATAATTAAATAGGAAGTTAATAATAAATATTAAGATTTTTTTATTTATAAACATTATTAAATAAATAATTTGTTTATACTTAAATATTGATGAAGTTCAACAGTAAAATTTAAAGGGTTTATAAATTTACCTGCCTAATTAAAAATTATATTGTTATTCTGGAAGTTTTAAACAACCAGTACATATTTAATAAACGACGACATTGAAAAGCCAAGTCCGTAGTGGTTCCATTTAAAACAGGAGGGATAGTATAATCTAATATAATTTTGACATAGACAGTTAATATAGAAGTGAAGACAAATAAATAAAAGTTATTATAACGCTCTAGCAACGATATTGAAACGTTCTAGTAACGTAGCAGCTACGTTCCAAATAATAGCAGGGTTTATAGCTAGTGACATATTTGTTACCTTTTTGAAACTCAATAATTGTTCCCCACTTTAGTCGTAACTTAGTAATGAAAGAGTAATATAAAGAGACTGTCGCAAAACACTTTAAAGTTTCTTCAATAGTCCCCCATATAATAATAATAATAATAATAATAATAATAATAATAATAATAATATTTATTTCCAAAAACGACAACTCACAAAATTGTATAGGAAAACGTCTAAAATATAATATAAAAAACATATAGAATTGTAAACATTTACATATTGTTAAAAAAACATATATTAGCATAACAGGATAAAATTGTAGTTATTGTTCAAAATATTCTTCAATAGAATAAAAACTTCTTTCTTTTAGATACGAGGATACAGTATTTTTAAATTTACGAAAGTTATTTAATTTTATAATATTACTAGGTAACTTGTTATACAATTTTATCGCTGTTATTATTGGGCCTTTGTATACTTGCGTTAAATTGTGTGTGGGGACATAGAGTTTGTTTGTGTTCCTTGTTTCGTATTTGTTTATATCACCGCACTTTTTGAAATTTTTAATATTAAGACATACATGGGACGGTTAAAATTTGATTACATTTAAAATAAGTTTTACAATGACTATTATAGGGTAAGTTTAACATAGACCTTAAAATACGTTTTTGTGCTATAAAAATTCTATTAATAGAGGAGCTATTACCCCAACACAATATTCCATAAGAAAGAATCGATTGGACACTTCCATAATAAAAGGTCTTTAATGTGGGTAAATTCACCACTTCTCTTAATTGGGTCATGCAATAGTTTTTTGATTTATTATCACTTATATGCAGCTCCCAAGAAAGATTTTCATCAAAAGTTAACCCCAAAAACTTAACATTCGAACTTTGGCGTAGTGCACTACCATTACATTTTACCCAGATACTGTAGTTTATGGAAGTTTGCTTGGGATGAAACATTATTAGTTGTGTTTTTTTAGGATTCAGAATAAGGCCATTTTTATTGCACCAAGAGTTCATTTTATTTACGTAAGGTGACCAACTGTGTAAAGGGGAAACCAGAACAGCGGTGGCCTGTAGGAATTTTTTTTAGAAAAACAGGCTTTGCCCTATTTTTGCCTGTTTTTTGTACCAATACCTGTGTTATGTTATTATTATTTACTCTCAATTGAGTTAAAAAACACAAATTTCATAATAGTTATTTTATATATGGGTCGTTTCACGCCAAATCGGCCACTTTTCACCCCACTAAAAATTTTTCTTAGTATTTTTCAGTTTTTTCACCCGACCAAAAACATTGTCAATTTTTTTGAAAACTTTTTTTGGTTGGGTAAAAAAAATGGAAAAATTCTGAGAAACTTTTTTAGTGGAGTGGAAAAAAAATTAAAAAGTTCAGTCAAATCGAAAGGGGTCGGGTCAAAAGTGGTCGATTTGGCGTGGAATTCCCCATATTTATAAATTAACTATTATGAAATTGGTGTTTTCAGCCCAGCTATTTATTAGTTATTAGGTATACCTAATAAATTAATATGGATTTATCAAAATTGGAAGTTAATTTTATATGGTAAGCTAAATCAGAACAGATCAGAACCAAAATAGTAAAATCAGAACCTTTACTACCTTCGATTTCCTGTCAGAATGAAGACCGCAAAAACAGTATAGTTCTGATTAAATCAGAACAGTTGGTCACCTTACATATACATACGTAACAAAAATGGGTTAGGGCATATTAAGATGTATTTTTCTAAATTAAAAAGGAAATAAATAATTTACTTCCGGGGATCGAATACACAACCCTTCTTGCTTTGTCTTTCACGTGACCCAGTTAAACCTACCTAAGAAAATTAGGCAACGTTTCGACGTTTTAACAGGAAATACATTTTTGTTTTTCATACAACAAGGTTTCAAGCATAATTGTCTTAAATTAGAACCGCATTTATTTTGGGTACGACCGCATGTGTTGTAAGTTTTTCAAATGTCAGATTGCAGAAATACTTGCATATTGCAAATCATCATCATCGGTTGAAAATGGAAAGTCCTGAATTAATTATGAAACGTTAATGAGCGCGCGCGTAGCCAACGGTTGTGTGAGCCAGTGAACGTCGAAGACGAAGAAGAAAGAGTGCACTGGAGCTCGAGAAGTTAGCTGTAAGTGCATCTATTTTCGCTGCACAAGGACAAGAGCGGTTGAAGGTTATGTCCATGTTTCCTGGTCAATGTTCTTGCGTTGGGCCGTAGTTTCAGCCCCGCGCACCCGCACACTTCCAGACAGAGAAGTTTACGATACGAGCGGCGCAAATTTGCAACTTTGCCGCTCGCATCGGCCAAACAAGCTTTCCCACTGCTCATCAAAGTTTATGCTAACAATATACAACACACATACAATTAAATCTACACATTTGTACAGGGTATCTCAAACTTATCACAAGCAGCATTTATGGTTCCAAAAACCATTACCAAATTGGTGCTACTTTAATTTTTACTTAAAAGTAATTCTTACTTTTAAATAGCAATATTTTACAACAGAAACTTAATTCTTTCCTTAAATGGTTACTATAAAGTAATAAACATTTAAGTAAAACTTGCTTGCCCCCAAGAAGACTTTGCAACTTTAAAAAAGGTGTTATAAGTAAAAAAAACTTTCAAGTAAATTTAATCTGTAGCAGTTACTTTCGGTTGCTACCTAAAGATTACATTATAATTATTTTTACTTTGTAGTCCCTTTGCAAGTTAAAATCTCGAAACTGGAACATGAGTTAAAAACTACGTTATAACTTAAAAGTTATTGTAACGTTTATGGTACTAACCAAAACTACCGTAAAGTAAATTAAGGTGGAAAAAAACTTTAAAGTAGCGAAAACTACTTCAAAGGAAAATACTTCTTATCGGCCATTTTTTACTGCACAGTACCACGTGGTAATGTAAATAATAAATTATTTTAATTGTTTGTAAATGGTTGTTTACTTTTTAACAAATAGTAATTTTGTTGGTAATAGACGATATGTATAATTTAATAAAAAATTAATAATAAATATCAAGATTTTTTTATTTATAAACATTATTAAATAAATAATTTGTTTATTCTTAAATATTCATAAATTCATAAGTTCAACAGTAAAATTTAAAGGGTTTATAAATTTACCTGCCCAATTAAACATTAGGTATATCGTTATTCTGGAAGTTATAAACTACCAGTACATATTTAATAAACGACGACATTAAAAAGCCAAGTCCGTAGTGGTTCCATTTAAAAAAGGAGGGATATATCCCTCCTTTTTTAAATGTTGATTTTACTATTGGAACGTAGCTGCTACGTTACTAGAACTTTTCAATATCGTTGCTAGAGCGTTATATTTACTTTTATTTTTTTGTTTTTGTTTTATTAACTGTCTTTGTCAAATTTATATAAGATTATACTATAGTATAAATATAAATTTGACAAAGACAGTTAATAAAACAAAAACAAAGAAATAAAAGTAAATATAAGATATATAAGATTATACTATAGTATAAATATAAATTTGACAAAGACAGTTAATAAAACAAAAACAAAAAAATAAAAGTAAATATAACGCTCTAGCAACGATATTGAAAAGTTCTAGTAACGTAGCAGCTACGTTCCAATAGTAAAATCAACAAACAAGGATATATTTCATCGTCTTTTAATATCGTCTGACCCCCTAATAACGTTACTTAGGAGAAATACAAAATATGTAAAATATATGCTAGATGAAGAAGTTTAGCAATTATTAATGGAATAAATGTTAAAATTCAAATTAAGCTGCGGAATCTAGGATGTGATCTCAATACACAAATAAATGGTCTCTAAAAATGAATAAGTCAAAAATGACCAGTTACTATAAAGTTATACCATGGTTACCTAATAGGGTGATTAAAAAAAATCGAATATTTTTTTTACTTCCGAAAAATTGGTTAAAAAGAATATGAAAAAGTTATTGAATTATTTTCGCAATCGTTTCACTGTGGTATTTAAAAAATAAAGACCTTTATTTTTTTATTAAAATAGGTATAGTTAATTATTCCTATTAAGTCTTATTTAACACATTAAAAAATAAGTAGGTATTTCTTTGCAATAAAAAAGTTTTTTATTCTTTCCTAAATCGATGCTCTAGGATCATCTAAAACGCATTTAAAAAATTAAAACCTTTATGTTTTTCGATTAAAATATAGTTAATTATACGTATTTAACAAAGTAAAAAATAAAAAAATTAATATTTTTTTGCAATAAAAAAATAATTGCCGTTACTAATCATATGCACTTTAAAGTGTAGACAACTTTAAGGTGGTGTCTAATCTAACTAACCAATCTGTTTTCGTTTTGTCACCAAATAGTGAAGTTGAGGCAAAACCATACTTTGGCAACAAATGGTTACCATTTGGTAACCAAAAACGCCATCGTGCACATTATGGGCCAATTTTAGCAAAAATTTGGGCACATTTTTTGGACTCTTCCAAAAGGTGGTGCGCGAGATTTGGGACACCCTGTAGATAATAAATAAACAGGAAATTGATAACACGAGCCTCGTGTCACGAGGAAATTAATACAGCAAAATGCCAATTATATTTGAAAAACCAATTGATAAGTGGGTAGTCGGTAGACTGTCCTAAAACTTTACCTGCGATTTTCAATGTCACAAGTGCATTGCTCCTTTCAAGTGGCTTTATAAACAAACAATTGAAGAATTTTAACCGTAAAATTATTCACTCCCGGTCGTTAAAACTCTATTATTAACAGTAGACTTGCAAATATTTAGTCAAGTAATTGGCAATATTAAGTTGTTGTCTTTTTAAAATAAATTATTGGTTTGATAGACCAGGGTCGATAATTTTTGAAACCAAAAAAAATAACAGTAGGATGAAACCCATTGGAAAAGAAGAAGAATATAATAAAAATGAAAGGGTGAAAACTTACCTTTTTATGTCCCAAATACACTGTAATTTATTTGATTTGAAATATTTATTATTTCGCCTTATTTGACTTAATATCAAAAAAGCACCCTAATTTTCAATCGAAAATTCTCGCGTCAAAATATCAGCTTTTTTCAAAAAGTCGGTGTGCTTTTTGTTCGATGAACTCTCTCTACTTTCTGATGGTGTAAAAAAAATATACATTACTATGGTAAATGTTCTCAGAAAATGCAAAAAATATTATAATGAATAACGAAAAAAACTCGAATTCGAAAATTTATTTTAATCATTATGTACAATTTCATCAAAAAAATGTGATTGTTGCAATTTTTTTAGTTAAAAAGTTTATTTATTAAATTCTAATAACATTTATGTCAGAAAATCTCATAAAATATAAAAATACATGTAAATCATACTATTGAATTTAGATACTTCATTCTGATTACGTTATTCATTATAATATGTTTTGTATTTTCTGAGAACATTTACCATAGTAATGTATATTTTTTTACACCATCAGAAAGTAGAGAGTTCATCGAACAAAAAGCACACCGACTTTTTAAAAAAAGCTGATATTTTGACGCGAGAATTTTCGATTGAAAATTAGGGTGCTTTTTTGAGTCAAAATAAGGCGAAATAATAAATATTTCAAAACAAATAAATTACAGTGTATTTGGGACATAAAAAGGTAAGTTTTCACCAAATTTCGTGGAAAAAATTATTTTTTTGAAAAAGATAAAAATAAAAAACCAAAAACTTGGTTTTTTGAATTTTTGACATAAATTTTGAGGTTATGTGAAAAAATTGTAAATACAAAAGTTGTAGATCTTCTTATTACCTCCAACTTTGATATTTAACTTTTTTCCATTGGACTTGTAGTTTTGCCGGAAATCGAGATAAACCATTTTTTACCCTTAAAACCCCCCCCTCCCACTTCCCGAACTCAGATCGCCCGTAATTTATTTTTCCTTTAATTTTTATTATATTCCCCTCCTTTTCCAATGGGTTTCATCCTACTGTTATTTTTTTCTCTTTTTACCATTTTTAAAGGTTTCTGCACTGGTCTATGAAGGATATTTTTATTTAAACGGTTTTGAAATGAAATTGCAACGCGCCAACGGAGCATTTTCTACGCGTTTTTGCTATTTTCTAGCATAGCAGACCTTGTTTTCACTGCACAAGAAAACGGACTTTCATTTAGAGAGTTCCTGCTAAACAAAATATCTGTTTATTACTTATTGTTTGCGCCGATATTGCATGCTTGCACTCTCCTGAGAAAAACCACAATACGCATTATTGCAAGAGCTAATCTTCCAATAGTTCCCACAAATCTGGGCTAATGCTGTTCATTTATCGAAGATGAAAAACTTTTGCTTTCCGCAGAAATCTCGCATTTCTGGTGCAAACGCTTCGTAATCGCTTAGTAAGCGACGCTTACCACGGTGCTGTTCTGAGAGGTGATTTTTGGACTTTCTGTGAAACCTAATTTTTTTTATATTCTTGTCAATTAGGTCATAACTAAAATTTTAAGAGCAAAATAAAAAAAATTTGACGGTTTGAATTGTTTTAATTGGCTGCTTATTAAAAATATTATGCACTCTTTCAATTATCCAATTAAAACTAGCGATTTAATTTAAATATTTAATATTTGCATAACTAAAAAAAGGTTTTTACAATTTTTTTTATATATTTTACTGTTTTGTTGCAATAAACGTTCAAACTTTTAATCTAACCTTTGACGTATACATTTATGTTCCCTTAATTAATATATCCTTAAAGGTTGCCAGGAAACTTGGATCTTTTAAAAATTTATTTGACGTTTGAATTGTCATTTTCAGTATACGTATTCTATAATTTTTGTTTAGTTTTTTAAAGTGTTTTTTATAAACAAAAATGAAAAATTGTAGTAAAAGTTACGAAGAAATTCATGAAATTTGAAGGACCGGTTTATTCATCTTTAGTAAATTTTATCGGGCCGATAACTTTCATGTCTTGGCAATATCTAGTATCCAAAGAAATTATTCGTCAAATAAATCAAAAATGAATAAATCGGCCCTAAATAAAATGTGACACCCTTAGAATTATTGTTTAATAAATGTATACCTACTATACATTTAACCTTAAATTAAAACTTTAAACGTGTATTACAACAAAACAGTAAAAGATATAAAAAAATGTATAGACCTTTTTTTAGGAAATTAACTAATCTTTAATCTGATTTAAAAAGTTATGATAATATTTAAATAAAATCGCAAGTTTTAATTGGAGAATTGAA